GCCTCCCAGGTTCAAGCAATTCTCCTGCCTCAGCCTCCCAAGTAGCTGGGATTACAGGCGCACGCCACCACACCCAGCTATTTTTTGTATCTTTAGTAGAGACAGGGTTTCACCATGTTGGCCAGGCTAGTTTCGAACTCCTGACCTCATGTTCCACCAACCTTGGCCTCCCAAAGTGCTGGTATTAGAGATGTGAGCCACGGCACCTGGCTGAAACTCCGTCTAAAAAACAAAACAACAGCAACAACAACAACAACAACAAAGCACCCCTGGAAGATTTAAATTGCCCTTTCTCTCTTCTACGGTGTTTTCTATACAATCTAGCAAAAAGAGCTATTTTGTAAATAAAAGAATCAAAAGAAAAAAATGTAGAATATTTATAATTCCCCTAGAATCTGACTAAAACATCTCTCTTCAGTTTACTAAGTGTTTTCAAGTTCAAGCACATCCAGAAAATGCCTCTTGGTTATACCAGCATCTCTCAGGTAAGGCTCACTACATGCCTCTTCCTGATTCAAGAGCGAGCTGAGAATCTGCCTCCTCAGAGTTGGGGAACAGCTCTGTGTGATCACAGGACAGGGACTGGGGCACCAACACGGTGACCAAGCAGATGACTGGTGATCCTTGTGGCTGCCTGGTCAGGGCTCGCCTGCAGCTCAGAGTTCATTATCCTTATCTCTGGTTAAAGACATCAGGAATACATATTACACAAAATCCAATTAGGAAAGAAGCACCCAGGGGCTCAGTCCTGACTCTCACTGCTTATCTCACTATATTAATTTATAAAATGAATTGGTTAATTCTGCCCCCTTGTTTGTGCATTGCATTAAAAATCTGAGACATGTCTCAGGGCACCAAACAACTCCATGAGATGGCCAGAAGAAAAAGAAAAAACGACCCCAGATGAGCCAAAGTTTGCCCTATTATGTACAAGATAATTATCATTAGAGAAAGCCTGAGGTCAGGTTCTGAGCTTCAGTGAGCTGTTGGCTTCAGAGCAGGTCTAAACTGCACTACTGGTTTTTAACAGTAAATGGGCACCAAGGGAACAGCAGGAGGCCTGGGAAGAGACTGCGCTTGGTCCCAGCCCTGGCTCTGCCCCTAAATACATGTGTTACGGAAGTAGCTCACATGTCCTCTGTGAACCTTAGTTTTCTCCACTGTAAAATGTAAGGGAGGCCCAAAAATGTTCTACAAAGCAGCGGTTCTCCAGCCCTTGGGAGTATTGACTCAGGAAATGCACAAAAGGAACATTCTAAGCCCAATCCCAGTAGGTCGAATTCCGTAGATGCGTGATGAAGCCTGAAGGTCCGCACTGAGAAACAGTGATCGCAAGTTCCTTCCAGCTTTGACACTCTGCCAGCCTGATTTCCAAAGTCCCTTCATGTTCTCAACAGCTATATAAAGCCCTTAAACAAGGGAAAGTTAATGTCAGAAATCTAAAAACGACCACTCCTAACTACACTCAAATAATACCAGAATCGCCAGCACTCAGAGCACCCCAAAGTTTCACGTCCCAAATGAAGAGGAGGGCCCAGATATGGTGGCTCACACCTGTAATCCCAACACTTTGGGAGGCCAAGGTGGGTGGATCACCTGAGATCAGGAGTTTGAGACCATTCTGTCCAAAATGGCCAAACCCCAACTCTATTAAAAATACTAAAATTAGCTGGGCATAGTGGCAGGCACCTGTAATCCCAGCTGCTTGGGAGCTGATGTACAAGAATCACTTGAACCCAGGGGTCAGAAATGGCAGTGAGTCAAGATTGCACCACTGTACTCCAGCCTGGGCAACAGAGTGAGATTCTGTCTAAAATAAACAAACAAACAAAAAAAACAAAAAACCAGAAACGAATGAAGAGAAGGAAGCTGCTAACCCCCAACTTTCAAGGAGTTTTTCTGCCTTAAAAACAGGGTGGGAGGCCGGGCATGATATCTCACGCCTATAATCCCAGGACTTTGGGAGGCTAAGGCAGGCAGATCATAAAGTCAGCGGTTTGAGACTAGCCTGGCCAACATGGTGAAACCCCATCTGTACTAAAAATACAAAAACTAGCCAGGCATGGTGGTGTATGCCTGTAGTCCCAGCTACTCAAGAGGCTGAGACAGGAGAATCGCTTGAACCCAGGAGGCAAAGGTTGCAGTGAACTGAGATTGTGCCACAGCATTCCAGCCTGGGCAATAGAGGGAGACTCTGCCTCAAAAAAAAAAAAAAAAAAAACAAGCAGGGTGGAAATAACAGCTCTTGGGCACTTGTTAGGTGTCAGTCTGGCTATGCGCATGCCAGGCACATGTGTGTTCATGAAACAGCCATGAAGAAGAATCTGCCTTGACCACCACTACTGAGTCCCTGTACACTGAGTAGCCACTGAACCCTGAAAATGGGCACCTTCTGGGAGCCCCAATCTTGGCTCCGTGAAACAGTGCTCTTTAAAAAGTGGGCTCGGCCAGGTGTGGTGGCTCACGCCTGTAATCCCAGAACTTTGGGAGGCCGAGGTGGACAGATCACCTGAGGTCGGGAGTTCGAGATCAGCCTGACCAACATGGAGAAATCCATCTCTACTAAAAAATACAAAAATTAGCTGGGCGTTGTGGCGGTCGCCTGTAACGCCAGCTACTCAGGAGGCTGAGGCAGGAGAATGGCTTGAACCTGGGAGGCGGAGGTGGCAGTGAGCCAACATCGCGCCATGGCACTCCAGCCTGAGCAATAAGAACAAGATTCCAACTCAGAAAAAAAAACAAAAAAGTGGGCTCGACATCCACAAACTACAGCTTCACCACTCTGGTCTGAATTAGGAGAAACAGTAACAAAGGCAACTCTTAGGGCCGTCCCGGAGCACTTCTGACTTGGCAGCCCTGGAGTATTAAGTAGGACACAGATTGTATTAACTGGGTTTTTAGGCCAGAAGAGCCTTCACATGGGTCAGATGTTGAGTTTTACTAACAATACTTCAAAACTTCTAAAACAAGAAAAAAGATGGAAGAACACAGGAATCCTGGAACTCCCCATATGGCTAAGACCTAGATCAAAATTAAGTGGCCTGGCTCACCTCCATCAGGCAGGAAACAAACAAAACATACTTTCTTCCAAAGCGCAACAAGAGCTGGGCTTGGTAGCTCATGCCTGTAATCCTGGCATTTTCGGAGGCCAAGGCAGGTGGATCACATGAGGTCAGGAGTTCGAGACCAGCTTGGTCAACATGGTGAAACTCCATCTCTACTAAAAATACAAAAAAAAAAAAAAAAAAAAAAATTAGCCAGCCATGGTGGCAGGTGCCTGTAATCCCACCTACTCAGGAGGCTGAGGCAGGAGAATTGCTTAAACCCAGGAGGCAGAAGTTGCAGTGAGCCGAGATCATGCCATTGCACTCCAGCCTGGGCAAGAGAGTGAGACTCTGAATCAAACAACAATCAAAACAAAAAAACAAAATGCAAATGGAGTCGAGCTGAGCACCCTACTGAAGCTCTCTGCTTGCTATGATGGGGTGCATGAATGAATGCAGGATTACTGCCCATTTGATACAGAAATAATCAATCAACAGCCATTCGCATCCCTATAGTCAAAGTCAAAATCCTTTCAGTTCCCACTGGATTGTAATGTAAGGTCTCTCCCACTACCCCAGCACTGTTCTGAGTACATAATAGACTTGGGGAAAATTCTGAATAATAAACTAAGTCCACATTCCACTTAAAGCACACCTTAGGAGTTAGGCTTTGCCCAGAGACTCCTGGTAAGACAAGAGTTCTGTGCCAACCACATACTCTATCAACAATCCCAAGTCACAGGATTTATCTAATACACCTGTTTATACACACACACACACACACACACACACACACACATTTTATCCTGGGATAAACAGATGACTATCCTTATGTGTTTTCAATGGGGAAAACTTTCTTTTAGAAGATAAAACCAACATTGCTTCTCTTTGCAGCTGTGTCCAAATAAACAGGAATGAACCAGCATGAGCCTGTGTCTTCAAGTTGCCACCCTGGGTTCTAGTCCCTCCTTGATGCTCACCGACTACATGACCAGAGACAGTACTCCTTGCTACTAAGACTGTTTACCCAGCTGTAAAGATCCCCACATTTCCCAGGGGTCTTTGCAAGATTTAAGTGAAATAAGGTACGAGTCTTTGTAAACTCTGAGCTGCTCTGTGCCCTAAATAATTGCGTTTCCTTTTCTTTTTTGAGACTGAGTCTTGCTCTGTCGCTGAAGCTGGAGTGCAATGGCACCATCTCAGGTCACTGCAACTTCTGCCTCCTGAATTCAAGCAATTCTCATGCCTCAGCCTCCCGAGTAGCTGGAATTACAGGCATGCGCCACCATGCCTGGCTAATTTTGTATTTTTAGTAGAGACAGGGTTTTCGCCATGTTGGTCAGGCTGGTCTTGAACTCCCGACCTCAGGTGATCCGCCTACCTTGGCCTCCCAAAGTGCTGGGATTACAGGTTTTTGTATTGTTAGTGGAGATGAGGTTTCACCATGTTGGCTAGACTGGTCTCAAACTCCTGACCTCAAGTCATTCACCCTCCTTGGCCTCCCAAAGTGCTGGGATTACAGGCATGAGCCACCATGCTGGGCCGTAACTACCTTTCTTTATTCCACAAATAGTTATCGATGGACTCAGCTTTTCTCCAGTACTAGCTGGTTGGGCTGTTTACAAAGCCTAATTATTTTTTTTTTTTAATTTTATTTATTTGTTTTAGAGACAAGGTCTTGCTATGTGGCTCAGGCTGCTCTTGAACTCTTGGGCTGAAGTGATCCACCTGCCTCAGCCTCCCAAAGTTGGAATTACAGGTGTGAGCCACTATGCCCAGTCCAACAAAGCCCAATTCTTGAATCTGTCTCACCAAGTTGGTAGCAAGCCGGTTAGAATTAGAAGCCCCTTTATCTGAGAGTCTTTTTTTTTTTTTTTTTTTTTTGTATTTTTAAAACCAGAACATTCACTGCGTGACTCATCAGTGAAATTCTTTTTTTTTTTTTTTTTTTTTTTTTTGAGATGGAGTTTCGCTCTTGTTACCCAGGCTGGAGTGCAATGGCGTGATCTTGGCTCACCGCAACCTCCGCCTCCTGGGTTCAGGCAATTCTCTTGCCTCAGCCTCCTGAGGCACACGCTACCATGCCCAGCTAATTTTTTTGTATTTTTAGTAGAGACGGGGTTTCACCATGTTGACCAGGATGGTGTCGATCTCTTGACCTCGTGATCCACCTGCCTCGGCCTCCCAAAGTGCTGGGATTACAGGCGTGAGCCACTGTGCCTGGCCAGTGAAATTCTTAAGATGAACTGGATGCTGCAACAGCTGCCTTCTTGTGTTTAGATGTTGTTCCTTCACGGAATCCATGCCTGAATCTGCGGTATACAATTTTTAGGTGCCTCATTTGACCAGTCTTGGTGGTATTTCGTCTTTTAGCCTTGGCACTCCAGTTATACTTTCTCTTGCACTTGGCAGGGTAGCCACATTTGCTGCAGGTCGACTTCTGAAGGTGGTAGGCCTTAGAGCCACAGCAGCTGCACAACATGTGTGTCTTATTGCGACGCTTCCCAAATGATGACGTTCCCTTGGTCATCCTGCCTCTGCGACCAGGACAAGAAAAGCCTGAGAGTCTTAGGAGGACTAATTAGCAAGGATGTCACTTTCTCTGCTGAAGACTGTATTTAAAGTTTCACAATCTGGAAGCAAACAGCCAAAAACAACTCTAGGGAACTGAGCCCTAAACTACCCGCCTCTCCAACAGGCCAGGCCATGCTCTGGGGAAGAGGCCTGCACTGCAGACAAATTCTCAGCTGAACAGGGACACTCGGCTGCACTGACTGTGGCTCTGTGCACACATCTCCCTGAGGCCTAGGGAGAAAAGCCAAGCCAGGCTAGGGCACAGAAGGGTCCGCCTGGGAGCAGAACATCTGCTGGCGTTTCCTCAACATCCTCGGTGGCACCTCACCAGGGCACACGTCAGGCGTCCCCAGGCCAGGCACCATCCGCAGCTGCTGGTATTTCCCCTGCTGGGGGCACTCGTCAGAATCCAGCCTGCCTGCAGTCCGCCTCACGGGTTTCATGTGGCAGAGGTAGGAACTGGGATGTCACACAAAAGTTAGCTTCAGGGCACGTGAGAAACGACCTATCTCTTCTTCAGGAAAAAAGAAAAAGCAGAGCCACCTGCTTTAATCATCCAAAGTCACAAATCACAGATGGAAAGTACCTGAAATTTCCATCCCAGGAAGCAAACTCTGAATTTAGACAGAGACAAAATTCATCTGCTACATCCCCATGCTAAAAGTGAACACCCTGGTCAGCCACCTGGTAAGTCCGTCCTCCAGACACCACCCTACAAGTGTCTGTCAGGTCTCCGTGCACAGCATCAGCGGACGTGTATTCTGTACAAAATACAATTTCCAAAAGAAAAACATCCTCAGTTCTGGCCGGGTACGGTGGCTCAAGCCTGTAATCCCAGCACTTTGGGAGGCCAAGGTGGGTGGATCACGAGGTCAAGAGATCGAGAACATCCTGGTCAACATGGTGAAACCCCATCTCTACTAAAAATACAGAAAATTAGCTGGGCATGGTGGCGCGTGCCTGTAATTCCAGCTACTCAGGAGGCTGAGGCAGGAGAACTGCCTGAACCCAAGAGGCGGAGGTTGTGGTGAGCCGAGATCGCGCCATTGCACTCCAGCCTGGGGTAACAAGAGCGAAACTCCGTCTCAAAAAAAAAAAAGAAAAACATCCTCGGTTCATCAGCTGCAGTACAGGCAAGAGGACCCTCTCTGATGGACGGTGAAACCCTTAAGTCCCGGTGGGCTCTGTTCCCACCTGCAGCAGCTTCTCAAGCATTTGGCCCACAGCAGCTACACTCCCTGCAAGAGAGTGGTGGCACTTGGAAAACTCCTCCCTCCTTCCATCTGCAGTGACATTTACACCCCTAAGAGTTGGGTCCAGAACAGCTGTGCAGGTAATTGGTACCTCAGTAAGGCAGCCTGATGTCCCCCCTTACAGGCTGCACTCCTACTTCCTGCCTGGTACTCTATGGCTACACAGATAAGGCTAAGGAGACTCTTCCTTGGAAGAGCTGGGGCTGAGTAAAGCCAGCGCTCTACACAGCACAGTGCCGGAAACAAGGCCCCAGCCTGTCATGGGCAGAGAATGGGGAGGTGCAGCTATGGACACACGGGCGGGGGATGGCAGCCAGGTCAAGGCTCCGGAAGGCCCCGGGGCTTCATCTGTTACTGTTCTTCTACATCCTCCATCACAAGGGGCATGGGAAGCCTCAGGGAGGGCTCTGAGAGCCACCTGGATGCTGGTAGAGGGAGTCAGCTACACTCTATACAAGGAGGATAAGAGGAGGCCTCGCTTCTAATCTAAGAAACAAGATCCCAGGCCTCTGGGAGAGCTGAAAGGCCCATGGACGGCCAGGACAGTCTGCTGTGTGGAGAGGCCACACACCTATCCGAAAACACATTTCTACTCCACAGAGCAGGCTGCAAATGTTTCTGGGGGTTCCACACATCCATCAGTTCAGGCTGTGGGGCATTCACCTCCGATGCACCATCTCCCTTGATTCTCCTAACCCTGTTGGCAGGAGTGTTGCTATGCCCACTTCACAGAAGGGGAGACTGAGGTTCAGGGAGGGTAAGTGCTTTGCCTAAGATCTCTAGAACCCAGATTTGATGGTAAGGCCAGGTAGATGCTAACTTTTCTGCTACTTGTGTCACAGCTGTACACTGTGGTAACATCCACGTGCCACTAACATCTCCAAAACCTTCATCTTCCAGGGTAAAATGCAGCAGGAGAGAAAGGCTTCCATTTCGCCCAGCCACGTTGGGCTGAGGCTCAGACCTGGAACATTCAGTTCAAGTGTGCTCTGGATCAGGGAGCCAGCACTTGGTGCTGAGTCATCGGGCCAGCCAGAAAGGGGCCAGGACAGTGAGAGCACTCAGCTTAATTCTGAGTCACCACAGCCCCAAGACCACAGGGACGCCCGGCATGAAACTCTATCAGAAACAAAGAAGACCCCACCCAACCCAACCCAGGAAGAAGTGCTAACTGGGCTTGGGTGCTGGGGGTCTGAACTGATCCTAAAAGGAAGGGCCAGTGAAGGGTCTGGCTTTTCCTCTGCACATGAAGGGGCCTTCCCATCCTCCCACTGTTTGGATTTTTAAACCATCTATTCATTCATTCAGTGTCAAGGAAGAATTTTTTAAATAACTGAAAAAAATATAGAATTCTATTTTAATAAACACGGAGGAAGATACTTTAAAATGGGAAATGTTTGTTCTCAATTGAATACTAAGGAATTTTCTATAAAAAGTCTTCCCAGTTCACCGGAGCACAGTTCTGTGCTGGGAGCTCTCGGACAGCTGGGTTGTTTACAGGCTCCTGACGCATAGAGCTGGCACTCTGCAATTCTAGGCTTTTCTGAATTGATAGTGAATAAGAAGCTTCATGTATATGGTGTCTGATCTTACTGCCAGCCACTTGAAAAAAAATTGTTAAGAGACTCCTTTCACAGTGCCCAGGGCTGCTCTCTGCGCAGCTATGGAAGCGGGGTCTGGCTGCTGCCAGCTCCCGGCCTCTCCAGCCTGGCTGGAAGATGCTGTGTCATTGGGAGAAACAAAAAGAGCTTCTCCGGACCTGTAAGGATGAACTGAGGAAATCAATACTGAAGTCCTTTGTGCAGAGGTGCAGAGAAGGCCATCTGGAAAGTGACAAAAAGGAGCAGGCCTCAGGGTACCTTTAGGAGCCCAGGATAACTCTGCAGTTCTTAGGAACCAATGGAAGCCTTCCTGGGACACACCTACAGCCTTTACAGGCAGTTTTCCGGGAACTGCTTTCGAGCTTTGGGCCCAGACCCATGTTCTAGCCTTTTTGACACAGTCACTCCTTCACTCTTCTCTGAGTTTGTGGACCCCGCCAGGGATCAAGAGGCAGAGATGAAACACACAGACTCTGCCCCAGAACCCTGAACAGAGATGTGACCTCAAGGCAAAGGAGTAAAGTGCTGAGCTTAGGAAAAAAGATTCAAATTAAAATAAAATAGAGTCCAGAGGAGAATCAGCCTGCTTCGGACCAAGGCAAGGCAGGACATGCTCTGGAGAACGGCCTCGAAGTGGGCAGACTTGTCCCCTATATGGCATTTAACACTGAGACTCGCTCACGGTGGGCACCCAGTGAATTTCAGATGCGGTAAAGGAGTGAGTGAAGAGCCGGGCCAGTCTCCTAAGCCCAGACTCAGGTTCAAAAAGCAGGCCAACATTTCTGATGAACTGTACAAAGATGGATTCAGGACTGTTTATCACCTCAAGCTGCGCCTGGGGAGTACAAAGCAGCCAGGCCTGCTAAAGGCAGATCTATCACCTATTCAGGAACACAGGTGGGGTAAAGCCACAGAAGTCTTTCTGTTTTGCCACAGGCCAGGCACACTGCCTCTCCAAGTCCGCTGTCCCATACATAAGACACTTCAGATAACTGATGAGAATTTAGTGATAAGGCTTCCGAAACTACTCACCAATATCTGGCACATATATATATGTATGTTGACAGACAGAAAAATCCCACATTCAGTCCTTTCCCCCCAAGTTCTTCCTAAGCTTTTGCAAGCTGCCTGGCTTCCTAAAAAGCTGCCAAGGTCCCCAAGATATCTTCATCGAAATATGTGAAGACTTAACACCAGATATCTCACATGGTGTCACATGTGCCACATGACGCATAGAGATAAATCCTGCACCTGCAAAACAAGGGGCTCTGGAGGCTGCCTCAGAAGGCCAGCTGATGGGGCGTGGTGGTGTGCGCCTGTATTCCCAGCTACTCGGGAGGCTGAGGCAGAAGAATCGCTTGAACCCAGGAGGCGGATGTTGCAGTGAGCCAAGACTACACCACTGCACTCCAGCCTGGGAGACAGAGTGCAGCTGTCTCAAAAAAAAAAAAAAAAAGCCGGCTGAGTCTATGCTCTGAGGCAGAAGCAGATCGGGGTGTGCACTTGATTTCCAACAAAAGGGAACCCAGGAGGGGCTGGAGAATTACACGGTGAGGTGTGACACAGGGTTCACCTGTGTTCGTCAGTGCCAGAGGGTCTCACAGATCCTAATAAGCAAGGCCTTTGTCTTCAGTTTCTTATGTAAGCTTTCTTAAACATTTAAAAGCAATATGAAAACAGCAAAACTTAAAGGAGAAAAGGTAGGTCTGGATGATGAACAGTTTTCTACTTTGGTTGATAAACATCAGAATATCATTTTTAAATGTCAACAGAAAGTAACAAACATGTAGAGTGGTTTATATAAGGTGACTGTGTGTCATTCCAGAAACAAGGACAGCACTAAGCAAGCCTCATGGGTGGCATGAAGCTTTCTGACTCACAAGCAGCCCTGAGCATCCAACAGTTAAGCCTTCCCAGCCCTGGCTAATATCAAATGCTGCCACAGGTCCTGTGTACAGGCTCCACCCTCATAAAGGGCAAATCTACCCAAAAAAAAAAACGGGACAAATGATGTTCTCAGAGGTGCAGTTGATTCTCGTGTGAACAACACAGGCTGTTATTTAGAGGGGAAAATGGAAGTCCTGGATGAGCTGGGCTCCAAGGCATCTGGCCATGCTCTTCATCCCTCCCCAACAAATCACTTTCATGCAGTTGCACAGGAACTTGCTCAGCCATCACTGCAAGATGCTGGAAATACTAAGGAGAGAATGGCCACTGATTTCCTGACTGTGCTCTGACTCTGCTAAGAGGCACAACAGCTTGCAATCGATCTGCAAAGAGCAAAATGATCTCATCTTTGAGAAAATTCAGGAGGCTCTGCTGAACCTTAAGCAGAATGAATGAGTCTTTCTACTTCAATCATAACTCAAAACATTTCCAACGCTCTGAAAGGATGTTTCTACCTCCCTCTCACAGAGCTTGAATATAATCTGTCAAATGATTATGGTGAGTCTGCTGGGTGGGCAAGACAGAAAGGAAAGGTTCTGGCATGCTTCTTCCTGGGGTCCAGGAGGCTCTCTGGACCACCTCCCAACTCTTACACTGCCAGCCACCCTGCCAGACTTTGCAGTGTGCTGTTTTCGCTCACTCTCCATGTCACCCCCATATTCCACCTTCAGAAGCCCAGGCACCCGGGCGTTTCCCCAAGAAGCAAAATGGAGGCTCGGGAAAAGGCTCTGCTGGTTAGATGTTCAGGAGGCACTAATCTGCAGCTCCTCCTCCCCAAAATGGGATCACTGGCCATCCATGGCTCCCACTGCAGTGTGGCACAATCAGAACCACCAAATTAGCTTTCTGAACTTAATAGATTTCTGGGCTCTACACTGAGCAATTCAGATTTGAACATGGGGTTTGGGCAGGGAAGTGGTGAGACACAGCTTAACAGGACACCCTGAAGACTGCCAGGCTGATAAACCCCAGGATCCACAGAGCTAGAACAGCCCTGCTCCATGAGGGAGGGAGGTCTCCCTCTCATCCCAGGGATGCCTGTCGAGGAACAGCACTCCAGAGTGTCCGGCCTCTGTTTATTCAGGGAGGAGAGCCTGGAGGAGTGGCTACAACCACTATTGAATGCCAACCTCTGCTAGGAAGGGTCCTGGACTGGTATGAACTTGCCAAATTAGTGGGAAGCCCAAGTGTACAGAAAATCAAAATCCATGAAGACTGCAGGTGTGGAGGTCCGGCTGCTTAGAATGGGGCTGGATGAAGCCCAACATCTTTGTGGGCTGCTGGCCGGCTTCAGCAACAACAGAAGACACTTGCTTTCGCTCTGCCCTTCTGCAAAAACAGGGAGTTGCCCTAACCACTTCAGGGAAGGCGGAGGATCAACTGCAAGATGTCAGGAGAAGACTAAATAAAATACAAAGGTCTAGTCTTTTCCTTTTTTTTTTAACTAATGCAGTTAAATATTAAACACCCTAGGGTGACTGCAGTGGCTCATGCCTGTAATTCCAGCACTTTGGGAGGTCGAGGCAGGCAGATCACCTGTCGAGAGTTCAAGACCAGCCTGACCAACATAGAGAAACCCCATCTCTACTAAAAATACAAAATTAGCCCGGTGTGGTGGCGCGTGCCTGTAATCCCAGCTACTTGGGAGCCTGAGGCAGGAGAATTGTTTGAACCCAGGAGGGGGAGGTTGAGGTGAGCCGAGATGGAGATCGCACCATTGTACTCCAGCCTGGGGGACAAGAGTGAAACTGTCTCAACAAAACAAAAATGTTAAACAAAATAAAACAAAAGTGTTAAACATCCTGAAGCTGAGTCATCCCCCAAAAGAGAGGTTTCTCTTGAGCTCCTCACGCTCAATGAACAGCTTTTTGCTGACTGACAGCATTTCCTCTTGAAGATGGTAATGCCCAGATCTGAGCCTCAGCTCAACTCCTCCAAAATTACCCTTTGTTTTTCTGCAAGGGCCCTTTTCTCATTATGCATTGAAAAACCAATTTCAAATACAAAATGATACTGAAGGATTTTTTACTACATTTAGTCTTGAGTAAGGTGTAATTCACACAAGTACAACTGAATTAGTCACCATATATTGCGTGTGTCAAAGCACAGGATCAAAAGCAATGAAGCACAAACAGCTCATGGGCTGAATGTTAATTTTCTCCTTAAGTTTTGGTGCCATGCTCACAAGTCTCAAGTCATTGATTTGGTAAAGAGAACTCTCTTCTTTTTTTTTTTTGAGACGGAGTTTCGCTGTGGTTACTCAGGCTGGAGTGCAATGGCGCAATCCCGGCTCACCGCAACCTCCCCCTTCTGGGCTCAAGCAATTCTCCTGCCTCAGCCTCCCGAGTAGCTGGGACTACAGGCACACGCCACCATGCCCAGCTAATTTTTGTATTTTTAGTAGAGACGGGGTTTCACCATGTTGACCAGGATGGTCTTGATCTCTTGACCTCGTGATCCACCCGCCTCGGCCTCCCAAAGTGCTGGGATTATAGGCGTGAGCCACTGCCTCCAGCCCGAGAATTCTCTTCTTGAGTTGATCATGTCCCATCATCAAAATCCAAGCAATCACAGCACAGAGGTCAGTGACCCAATAACTTGGTGGCCAGGAGGGCACAAAGGTAATCAAGTATTTTAGCCTGCATGCTTCACGGTTTCACAAAACATTCACTTCCACCTTCTGAACAGACACACTGCCTCTTATGAGGACTCTCCTGACATCAGTACTCTCCCTGCTATCGGTACTAGCTGGGTGACCTTCAAAAATCACACCTGAACTCTCCAGGTTTTTTCAGAAAATAAAGAAGCCTACCTAAAAGATCTTCAAGGACCTTTCAACTTTAACATTTTCACTGTGAAATTTTCAAATAAACCTTTCCAGCATCAGACTTCTGATTTAGTAGTTCTTACTTTCTATTTGTTGAGAAGAATAATGGTAACTAAACCTGCTTTTTTCCTTTTAAGGTTTAGGAAACCACAGCCTAACCCAGGCACCAGGTGGGTACAGGAAGATCTCAACTTGCTGGGTAAGTTTCATGCTGAGAACAAAGTACTGACAATGTTTACATTCAAACTTAATCTTCACTCATAACAAAGGCTGCCAGCAAATGCTACTGTCCCTATGTCTACAGGAAGAAGCCCTCAAAATAATAGTTGTAAACCACACTAAAGATCATGTACATCCACGCAGACTGCTAAGAAAGGGGGTTTGAAATGAGCGTCAGTTTCACCCAAAAATGGGTTGGACACCCAAAAAGGTATATTTAACTGTGCCCATCCCAGCTAATTACAGCCTCTTATATTAATTTTCAAGAATAAATATACAATTAATCTCTCGTAAATGTAAACTGCTGACTGTACACCATCTCACTGTTGGGAACCAGAGTTTTGTCAATATTGTTAAAACAGAACGTGTATAAAAATGAAGGGAAATAATATGGGTCTTTCTTCTAAAATCATGAGATACAAAGCATTTTTAATTTGCTGAGTTTTTAAATCTTCAAAATAATTTATCACCTCTTTTGCTGCTTCTATCTTGCCCAGACAGCAGTCACAATTACGTTTTAAGTATAACATAATTATTTTTAAAACCTTTTTATTTTGAAAGCTCAAATTTACAGAAAATGGAAAGAATAGTATAAGTATGATTTTTGAAAATTAACAGACTCATTCCAAACTTATGTTTTCAAATTTCATGCTCTTGGGGATTAAAAAGTATATATCCTTGCATATATGTAAATGAGACATACTTCTGCTATATTCACAAGAGTATCATTACTCAGTTATTTGTGTACTGGTAACAAATCCTAAGTATTTTAATACCATAACAAGGCAGGAAGCGAATGCCATTATAAACATACACATTATCGTTCTCTTTCTCTCCAGGGTGAGGCAATGTGGTAATGCAATGGCCAACTGTAAGACAGTCTCCCGTCTAGTTTAGAAACTGCTGGGGAGAAATGCACCCCGTTTTTAATTTTACAAGTGATAATAGGATACATACAGATCCAAAGCACTTTCAAACAATAATACAATTTTAATTTGACACACACACACACACACAGGCATAAATGTTTTGACACCAGCTTCCTGAGTCATTGGGTGCCTCAGATGGGACAGTAGTGAAGACATCCCTCAACCAAGTTAGGGAACTTGAGAGGTAAAAATCCCCCAAAACCACCATCCAAGCTTGTGTCTCCCTCGCGTTCGTGGACAGCGGGGTGCGCCGCGGGTCCCGGGCCCGGAGGCCAAGCGGGCAGCAGGGACTGCGGCCTCCGGAGCCGACCAAGCCGGCTGCCCTCCTCCAAGCTCGGGAGGGCTAGGCCAGCGCCGGACACCCGGCCCTCCGTCCTGGAGTCGAGCCGCGGACGGCACAGGGGCCACTGCGGGGACGGTTCCCGGGCCACCGGATCCCGGGGCCTCCTTTGGCCCGGACGCCTGTCAAGGGCGGGTCGGGAGCAGGGACTCGTCCGGGAGCCGCGGGAATGTGTGGCTGGGCGCGGAGCCGGTGTCCGCCTGAGAGGGGCCTTCGCCGACCCCCGGGCCCCGCTTCTCGCGTCCCACCCGCCCGGCCCCCTTCCCGCCGCCCGCCGTCGAGGTGGCGCCATCGACCAGGGCGGGCCGCGGGCCCGGCTCACCTTGGGGCCCTCGGGGGGCACGCGCGGGTCGTTCCACGTCGTGGTGCGGCTGTTGTGGTCCACGAAGAAGGGCCAGCCGGTCTGCGGGTCGATCTTGATCTCCCAGCCGGGGGGCAGGGGGTCGCGGTCACCGTTGCCGGACGCCACCTGCATCATGGGCGAGTGGGTGGCGGCGCTCATGCTGGGTAGGGGTTGGGGTCGGCCCGGAGCGGGGGCCGCCGGGGCGCGGGTGCGGAACGCGGGCTCCGGGCGCCGAGTCTCTGGCCTGGCCGCCGCCGCGGGCCCCTCTCCGCCGCCGACGTGTCCGGGAAGCCGGCGCCGGGCACCTTTATGAATTAAAGGCGGGGGTGACGTGGCCTGAGAGGGGTGGAAGTGTCTGGAAATAGCCTCCTCGCTGCTAGAGGAGAAGGAGGAGATAAAGGGAGGTAGCAACTGGCCGGCTAGAAACTTCTAGTCCCGTCCAGAGAAGTTGGCCGCGGCCCGGGGTTGGATGCGGAGCTCCGCCCTGAGTCATCGGCTATAATCGCGGCGGGCGGGGGCGGGGCCTCGGCCCTCTCGTTCGTCCCCGACCTCCCCGCCCTCCCCCGCCTCCCTCCGCCCCTCCCCGAGCCTCCTAGTGCGCGTGCCCCGGCCGGAGTGGCCGCGGGCGCGCCTTCGGGGCCTGACTGCGGATGGGACGCCGGACGCACTGAGTTGGGGTCGTCCTCCGTGCGCCCTGGGCGGGTTTCGGCTTTCACACTCCCTCCCTCCCTCTCCTTAGCGCCTAGTGAGTTTTCCCTGGGCCGGAGCCGGTCCTCCCCGTGCCTGCCGCCCCTCCTTTCTGTACAAACAAAGCCATCTCACCCACCCCATCCCCTCCCCCATATATGACAGCCCGGGACACTGAGGGCTGCCTGGGAGGAGCGCGGGGACGCTCATCTGACACTAGCAGGAAGGCAGGGAGAAAATGGAAGTCAGTGCAAACTCACTTGCCTTTCTTTGGAAACTTCAAGGAAAAAAAGATTGTGTCAGCTGATGGTTTTTAGTCTCCCAGACTAAAAAGAAAGTTTCGTTGTAGTAAACAGCTTTACAGAAAAATCACATTCTCTTGGGTTTGGATCTTTTTTATAGTAGAGGTTGGTTCTTGCTATCCTACATCTTGACCCTCATTTGGGAAGTAAAGACCTAACCTAACCGTGACATTTTTTCGCTTGGTTCATTGAATGGAGGTTGCACTTGTAACCTGCCAAAGGAGAAAATGACAACATTTTTAATTTAAAGATCTTTTTGTTTGTTTTTATTTGTTAACTTTTATTGTTAGTTTAAAGATCTTAACTGATTTTGTGATTCTAGAATTGGGCAACACCTCCATTAAATTAGAATAAGTGTTCCTAAAAGCCGAGCAGAAGAGGTTGGTTTTATAGACAGAGAAGGGCTGAAGAAAACAGAAACAAAGAACCAAGGCTGAATTGGTTGTTTTAAAATTACTTTCCTCGTAAGGAGGGGACAGAGAGAATCACAGAAAAATAACGGATGAGGGCTTGGCACTGTGGCTCATGCCTGTAATCCCAGTACTTTGGAAGGCCAAGACTGGAGGACCTCTTGAGTCCAGGGGTTTGACCAGCCTGGACAACACAGTGAGACCTACACCTCTACAAAATAAAAAAATAAGGCAGGTGCAGTGGCTTATGCCTGTAGTCTCAGCTACTCAGGAGGCTGAGGTGGGAGGCTCACTTGAGACCAGGAGTTTGAAGCTGCCATGGGCTATGATTGTGCTCCTGATGCCAGCCTAAGCGACAGAGCAGGACCCTGTCTCTTAAAAAGAGAGAGAGAGAGGGAGAGAGAGAGAGAGAAATGATTGGTTAACATCAGGTTACATACTTCAGATTACTGTACAATTGACCCTTAACATGGGTTTGAACTGAGCAAGTCCACTTGTACATGGATTTTCTTTTTTTTTGAGACAGAGTTTCGCTCTTGTCACCCAGGCTGGAATGCAGTAGTGCAGTCTGGGCTCACTGCAACCTCCGCCTCCTGGGTTCAAGTGATTCTCCTGCCTCAGCCTCCGGAGTAGCTGGGATTACAGGCGCCCACCACCACACTGGGCCAATTTTTGTATTTTTAGCAGTGATGGGGTTTCACCATGTTGGCTTGGCTAGTTTAGAATTCCTGACCTCAGGTGATCCACCCCTGTTGGCCTCCCAAAGTGCTAGGATTATAGGCATAAGCCACCGCACCTGGCCTGGATTTTTTTCAATAAAATTTGCACTGAGTATGCTTGCTTCTCCTGTCTCCCCTTCCACCTCTTTTACCTCTTCTGCCTCTGCCACCCCTGAGACAGTGGATTCTCACTGTCTCCTCCTTTTCCTTCCCCTCCTCAGCCTCCACGTGAAGATGATGAGAATGATGACAATTATCATGATCAACTTCCAATTAATGAGCAATAAATGTAAATCTCTTCCTTATGATTTTCTTAATTTTTTTTCTCTAGCTTACTTTATTGCAAGAACACAGTATATCATACATGTAACACACAACATGTGTTAATTGACTGTTCATATTATTGGCAAGGCTTTTGGTCAACAGTAGGCTATTGGTAGTTTTGGGAGAGTCAAAAGTATGCAGGGGCTGAGGGTGGTGGCACACGCCTGTAATCCCAGCGCTTTGGGAGGTCAAGCAGGAGATCACTTGAGATCAGGAATTCAAGACCAGCCTGGCCAACATGGCAAAACCCCGTCTCTACTAAAAATACAAAAATTAGCTGGTCGTGGTGGCACTCTTCTGTAATCCCAGCTACTCGGACGGCTGAGGCAGGAGAATCACTTGAATCTGGGAGCCAGAGGTTGTAGTGAGCCTGAGATCATGCCACTGCACTCCAGCCTGGGTGACAGAGCCAGACTCCGAATCAGAAACAAAACAAAACAAAAACAAAGTATGCAGGGATTTTCTTTTTTCTTTTTCTTTTCTTTTTTTTTTTTTTTTTTGAGACAGGGTCTTGCTCTGGCTCCCAGACTGTAGTGCAGTGGCGCAATCTCGGCTCACTGCAACTTTGCCTCCGGGGTTCAAGTGATTCTCCTGCTTCAGCCTCTCAGGTAGCTGGGATTCCAGGCGTGTACCACCATGCCTGGCTAATTTTTGTATTTTTAGTGGAGACAGATTTCGCCATGTTGGCTAGGCTGTTCTCAAATTCCTGATCCCAAGTGATCCACCCGTCTCAGCCTCCCAAAGTGCTGGGATTATAGGTGTGAGCCACCGTGCCCAGCTATGCAGGGATTTTTGACTGCACGGAGATGGTACCAACAACCACCTCCTGTCACCCCCAACCCCCACCCCTCATTCAAAAGTAGCCTGTTTGGGAAATTAGACTATCATCTCTCCTGATTTCTCAGAAAGTCAGATAACAGGTTGGTTTGGGGTTTGGTGATGTGGAACTTTAGCATGAGTGATTCCTTTCTGATTTTTAGTTGGGTCTGTCGAGGCCTAATCCAAGAGCTTAGTCCAAAACAGTGACCTTCTATAACTTTTATTTAACAGACGTCAATGAGCACCCCAATTTCCCCGAGAAAGACAGACCATGTTCCAGAAAGAGAGAATGTTAGGGAGGTTCGATTTTAGATCTTCAGGCATACCGACTCATTCCCTTCCCCCGAAACACTTTGAACTAATATTGGGCCCAGTTTTCCAACTTGGAATCAGAAAATATTCTCAAATCTTTGCAGTCAATACCTCTGACTTTTCCTGCCCTCAGATTATTCCTTCTGGAGGAAATGCCAGAGAGGCCTGCCAATCATTTCCAACGGAATGATTATCACTTGTAAAGACATGTGTATCAGCTTTGGAGTCCAGTAGCTCCAGTGATGATTAGGCCCATCATCGGAGCAATCGGACTCAAACATGTTAGAGGCTGGTGTATAAACCTGAACGTCAATGCACAAATTTATCATGGGAGATATTACTGCTGAAGGAACTAGACCCCCAAATCAGTGCCTGTCTTGGGCTTCCTTATATCTGCAGCCCTGAGTCCAGAGTCCATATTCAATAAATGTTGATGTTTATTGAAGATTGAATCCAGAATGAAATTTTATTTCTATCTTCTTCCTTTCTCAGTTTGCTTTCCACTACAATTACAGTTTAAATAAACACAGAGGCCAGGTGCAGTGGTTCATGCCTATAATCCCAGCACTTTGAGAGGCAGAGGTGGGTGGATCACTTGAGGCCAGGATTCAAGACCAACCTGCCAACAGCGTAAAACCCCCATCTCTACTAAAAATACAAAAATTAGCTGGACATTGTGGTGGGTGCTTGTAATCCCAGCTACTCGGGAGGCTGAGGCAAGAGATTTGCTGGAAACTAGGGGGTGGGGTTTGTAGTGAGCTGAGATTGCGCCACTGCACTCTGCCTGGGCAGCAGAGCGAGACTCTATCTCAATACTTAAATAAATAAATAAACACTGAAAGTGGTTTTTTTGGCCATTTTTCCCCTGAAAGAAGAAGTAGGGAGGAAGCAGGTTGCTCTGGGACTCACGTAGCTGCTTCTGATGGCTGTTCTGGAGGCTAAAGCAGCTCCATCTTGCATGCTCATCTGCCATGTTCACTTCTAATGAACCCCAGTTCCGGGAATGTCTCTAAGATTTCCTATTTTCACATACTTACTCTTAGGTCAAAATAATGTTGGTATTACTGTAATCCCATACATACTATAAATCCTGCCCTTGACAAATTCCCTATGGTATACAAGCACTGGGACTTGCAGGTAACAGTGCAGGGATCTGCCATCTTGTCTTGCAGCCATCCAGGACATGGCTCATGTCTGTAAGTCCCTATTAAGTGTTTCTTTCTGAGAAACTGGATTTGTCCACCTCTTTCTTCAGCTTCTCAGCTTCCTCAGCCTTTGGGGGTAGGTTTGCATAGACCTGCCCACCGCAGAACAGTTATTCTCCACTAGGGACTTCCACAGGGTTTGTCTAAAACAGAGACACAAGTCTTGGAGCCATGTTGAATACCAAGCATCATGTC